TGAGCCTGTGCTTCAGCGCATCCCCTACGCTCCACACACGAACCCTGGCAAGGTCTCGCCTCCCCTGAGGGTGGCTCTAGCCAGCTAACTACAACTGCATGCAGGCCATGGGCAGACATGGCCTTGAAAGCCCTCTGTAGGACAGAGCAAGATCTCCCTGGCTGGAAGCAAGCGGCTGGGTACACAGAGCTCTCGTGATGGTGCCCGAGCAGGGACTCGAGACTTGAGGGCGAGTGAGCTCAACACCCTGCGAAGGTTGACCTCAGAGGGCGCTCAGGGGAGGGACCTGAAGGTGGACAGGAGGGATGTTTCCTCCGATCCTTCAGTTGTTAGTCATAAGCAGAAGGGCCAGGTGCTTTCTGGTCAAGAGTAAATGATGCCTGTTTTCTGGAATCAGAAAGAATGGAGGAAGAGAGGACCCAAGTGTGCCTCACTTGCTCTGTAATGAACCACCTTGTTGGGTTGCAGGGCGGCTGTGGTGTCATAGGCAGTGCAAAGTGGTCAGAATGTGCATAAGACACAGAGCTGGGCCTGGCTTCTGTGCTCCTACAGGCTACTTCTGTCCTCAGCCTTCAAAGCGGTCCTACCCCACAAATACCAGACTGGTGGCTGCACAAAACTAGGAGGCCCTCGTGGGAAGACAGGAGATGGACAGAGCTCACAGCATGAAGACAACACAGCATGACGGGCACACACAGACACTGGTGTGTTTGGTGGGGAGAGGCCATGGCTCAAACCTCCAGGGCTGGGCACCCAGGCTGGACTCAGCATTCCTTTGGAATCAGGAGCGGTGCTGCTGGAGTGGCCTCCTACCCCACACCTGGCAGGTTTGAGGTCCCTGGGTGTATTCTGTGGACTGGGGCATTCAGATGAAGGCCAGCCATATTTGGTCAAGAGGTCGGAAAAGGCCCTTCAGAGCATCGATGGCACCTTTCTGGTGTTGGAGGTGGGACAAGGTATGATTCACTGGGAAAATGAGGTCACAGTGGGACAGACAAAAGGGATCACAGGCCAGGTGTGGAGTGGGGTGGGGTGAGGGGTGATGGAGAAGTGACACTCACCGGTGGCCCAGGCCTGCCGTCCAAACCTGAAGCTCCCTGGACGAAGGGCACAGTTTGACCAAAAGAAGGGGAAGAGAGGATTGGGAGGGAGAAAAAGGGAACAATGGGGAGGGAAGAGGTGAGTAAAGCAGTGACTCTGGACAGACATAAATGCTGGTAATCAAACACAACTGGAGAAATAAGCTTGGGAGGACAGGGGATGGTATTCACATGGAAACCAACGAAAACATGGAGACACTGAATGCAGTGGCCAGCTGCTGAGCAGGCTGGGTGGAGGTCGGCGCGGATGGCCACCTGCTCCTCCCACTCCCGCCTCTCCTTTCTCCCTTTTTTCCCTCTCAGGAACCCCTCTCCCTTCAGTGTTACGGGGAAAGGGATACAGAAAGGAATGCTTGGAGAGATGTCTTGGAATCAGAGCTGTGCACCCTTCCCAGGACAGGTTTCACTGGGGAGGGGCCCCAGGTGAGGACGGCTCTCCCATCCTCTTTGCATTCCTGTTTGGATCAGGCCATGCTGTGGTGCCCCTGAGGGTCTCAACCCTGGGTGACAGCACCCAGTTGTGAAATCTGGGTAGGAGTTCGTCTGCTTATCCTTCAGCCTGGGGAAATGAGTTGGCTCTTAGATGATATTACAAATGACACTTGACATTTCGCTGGCACTTTACAATCTGAGACGCTCAACCCAAACTCGATCTATTCATATGCTCCGACATAAGGGCTCTTGTGTAGGCAAAGGCTTTGGAGGCAGCGGACTGGGACAGAGGTCTAAGGCCATGTATTTCCCGGAGCAAATGGGCAGCAGGTGGGAAGCTATGAGACCAACCCGCTATCAGCACCCTCGCTCGCTCTTGTCCGGTGAAACACATGGTTGGTGGTGGTGCAGGGGGTGGGGGGCGCTCCTGTTCCAACCCTGGGTTATGAAGCTGCCTCTGAAACCCACCCAGGAAAACCCAGGGACCCTTTTCTAATGATTTCAATGTGACAAGTCAGGGAGAAGGCAGCGGCAATACTCTGGCCCAGTAAGGACTGAGTGCTTGAAAACTGCTTCCAACTGAGCCTCAGCCTCAGAATTTCAAATGAAAAGGAAGTCCCTAGAAGAGGGAGGCAACGAGCTGCTTCTTCATGGAAAAGGTGTTGGGTAGAAGGACTCTGCAGGGACTCTTCTCACATTTAGGACCACACGATTCTGGGACCGACCTTGACTCACTGGGCTAGAGAGCTGTGGTTCTCAGCCCTGGCAGCACATTAGAATCTCTTGGGGGCAATGTTAAGTAAAACATGCCTGGGTCCCACCCCATCCCAGCCCGATCCAATTCAAAATCTCCAAGAGCGAAGCCCGGGGTGATGGTAAGTTTGAAAAGCTCTCAGGGGATTCCAGTGTGCAGCCAGCATTGAGAACTGCTTCTGCAGGGCAAATGGGGGAACACTCCAGGATATGCCTGGAGAAGCAAGCTGCTACTACGTGGAATAAAACATTCAGGTGAAACCTGGAAACAGAGTGGTAGCTACATATCCATGTACTTTAAAAAAATGCAGCATTAAAACTCAGTTGTCTTGTAGGTCTGGAGCAGAAGGCACAAATTGGAGGCTTTCAGGGCATATGTGGGCCACTGACATATTTTGTATGGTCTGCAGTGTTGCAAATAATTTTGATCTAATGTTAGAAAATGGAAAGATTTCACATAAAACACCAGATGTTTAGCTTCCTTTGAAAAATAGGAAGATCCAGAAATACCAGCTCCGCCTTCCTCCAAGGCAATAGTCAGCTGAGCTGAGAAGGGACGGTTCCCCTTAAAAAGGGATAAACGGTCTCTAGTGTACCACAATCCCCTCCATTCCCTAGTGTCTCCCTCAGGTTTGTGTTAGTTGTCTTGTATGAATATGCTTGTTCTGTTGTTTACTTAAACTAAAAAAAAAAAAAAATACTTCTTTGTACCCATGCCTTTATCAAAAGTGAGAAAATTAATGATAGAGTAGGTACTTTGTCTTTCATCTGGCACTTTCCTTGTTTATATTAATATTACTTGCTTGGTCTCCATGCCTTTTGCATTTCAACCCCTGACTGAATTCTCCAGTGTTCATCAAGGGCGTCGGGGCTGTGAATGTGGATAAGGAGAGGTGTGGTTGAGTGGGGCAGGAGGCTCTTTAATAGTAAAGAGCACTTAATCATTCCAGACACAGCGTAAGACATGGGAAAATGCCTGCTAAAGTCATCAGTTTTCTGTAGTCTGTCAAGCAAATTGGCTTCTTAAATATTCCTACCTCGAATGCATTCATGAGGGTATAATTATACCTTCTGCATTTGCTGTTTGGTTGCTGTGATTGTATTAACCAGGCCTTCAAGCTCTGCCAAGTGGGGGTAACTGGGCTTTCCATTGTTTCTCTGCTCGTTATGGCTACCTGGGGTGGGAACTGGCCTTGAGCCCAGGACAGAGGAAGCCTGAGTGGTTGGAAGGAGTTGCTTTGCAAGGCCATGGCCTCAGAGCAGCCTCTGGCTTGGCCACCAACTTTGTATGTGACCCCCAGTGACCCACTTTCTTCTCTGGGACCATCAGTGAAATGATGAGATGGATTGCTAACATCCCTTCCAGCTCTTGGAAGAATGCCAGAAGAATGCCAGCCTCAGGGGAGGGTTAGGGGGCATGGAGCCCCGGCTCCAGGGAGGGTGGTGGGATGCGCTCACCTGTACACTGGTGAGGCAGTGAAGAGGCCATCAGCCCTAACCAGCCCAGCCCCGTATCATGACATGTGAACACCTTCGAGCAGTTGCCCACCTCTGACCTGAGGCCTCTGGCTCTGGGCAGGCTGATATCAGAGATCTCCAGGAACCCAGGAGATGAATGGCCTTGGCCTGCTGGGACCACAAAGTCTGACTTTGTCTGTGCCTTTCGGCCATGACCAGTGCTTAGGAGGGGAAAGCAGTTCTCTTGGGGTCCCTCTGGGAAAATGACTGTAATGGAGACTATCTCCTTGTCCTACTACTTCCAAACCCTCCAAGCTTGGTTCCCATAAAAGCAGCAGGCTTTGATTGCTTCTGAACCAGGCTCAAGCAGGGCCTGAAGCTTCCCTACCAGCTCAGTGCCCCTTGGGGTAGGGGAGCCTGTCTTCTTCAGCATTACCTTTCCCCAGCACCAAGGTGGGGCCTGGGCCCAGAGGAGGAAGAGAATCAGAGCCTGTGGTCTTGCCCAGGTGGGAAAACCAAAGCATGTGGAGCTCTGCATGCTCAGACTCTAGAAACTTAGCTTTCCAGTGGCTGTCTCCCGGTTCCAGCCCACACCCCTGGCCCGTCAAACCCACCAGTCTTGCTGGGTCCAAGGTACTTACGGGTAGTCCCAGGGGACCACGGTCTCCTTTTTCTCCCTGGACGCCTTTCTCTCCTTTTGCTCCATCTAGTCCTGCTTCCCCCTGGAGGAAAGGGAGAGGGGATGAGATCACACAAGGACATGTCTCAGACAATTCATTCTTACATTCTGGGGTCCTGGAGACTGGGGTGGCATTTGTAGAGGAGGGAGGAGTCAGGGGTGGGGGGCTGAGGATACCAAGAATCCCTGAATTCTTAGCCTACTCCCGCCTCAATGAGTAGCCCATGTATCCTGTGGGAGCTTTGAGAGCCCCACAGAGAAAAGGACTAGGTGGTGGGGGGATAAACCCACAGGTCAGGCCTTGGCACAGGTGCCCAACTGCATGGCAGGAAAGCGGGAACCTTAGAGAGATTTGCTCAGTTGCCTGAGATGCTACCCCCAGAGCCCTGAGGCCCACAGCCTAGTCGGGAGAACAAACTGCTCCAAAGTCTCTTGAATACTGGGGCACGAGGAAAGGGCCATTGTCACACCAACAGCCTCCAGCCCCCTCATCCATTTGAAATGCTTGAGGGGAGGCCAGGAGAGCCCAGTGCAGAGTTCCCCCAAGCTTGACCCGGGGAGGGGTCCCACCCTATGTTGCTGTCTCTCTCCCACCTCTACTCAGCATAAGTGAAGGGGCTGGGGCAGGTTTGATAGGAAAAGGATTTTAACCATTGGCTAAGAATCTAACCTGTCACTTTGTGGGATGATGGATGGGAAGCTTCTGAAGCCAAAGCATGCCAGGTGTCCATGATGGATGCTAAAGGGAACCTAGGACTTCCCCCTGCCCTGACTGGACCCCCTTGGCTGGAGTGTCACATAATGCCTTCTAGGAAGAAGGGTCAGCTGGTCTCGGGTGCATTTTCCCTCTTTTCTACTAGCACTGACATAGCGCCTGTCATGTGACTTCTCCTTACCTTTGGTCCAGGAACACCTTGGAGCCCCTGCATTTGGAATAAAACAAGGTGCATTAGAACTGCATCTCTAGTTAACACAACTGCCTTGTCCACAAATGGAACACAGAGGAGCAAGGATTTTGGGTGCAGAGTGTGGTTTGGGGTCCCTGCCCATGAGAGGTAGAAGGAAATGCTAAGTGGAGGTCATGCTTGGGGCTTCCTAGGGAATAGTCTGAGCCAGTCTTTTCCAGCCAGGGCTCACAGAAAATTTCTCTGTGGTCCTCGTGGTTGACCCAGAGTCTCATGAAAGAAAGATGCAGAGGTAACACAGCAAACATTAAATTAATACATGCAAAGTGCTTGGAACAGTGTCTGGCATCCAGTAAGTTTCAATAAACATTGGCTACTATCATTATTCCTACTGCTACTTCTACCATCCACAACAGAGGACACCAGTGCCTTGGAGACCACTAACCACACAGAGGCATGGACCAGCATCTGTTGCTTCAGGGTGCTTGGGGACCCTCTAGGGGCAATGCACAGGGGTCCAGTGGTTATATTTCTGTAGCCAAGGAAAGTCAATCCAGTGGGGCTGGGTCTCTTTCTTTCTTTCCTCCCTTCCTTCCTTCCTTCCTTCCTTCCTTCCTTCCTTCCTTCCTTCCTTCCCTCCATCCCTCCCTCTCTCCTTCCCTCCTTCCTCTCTTTCTTTCTTTTTGTGAGACAGGGTCTCACTCTGGTTGCCCAGGTTGGAGTGCACTGGTGCAAACGTGGCTCACTGCAGCCTTGACCTCCGGGGCCCAGGTGATTCTCCCACCTTAGCCTCCTGAGTAACTGGGATTACAGATGCGTGACACCACACTCAGCTAATTTTTTGTATTTTTAGTAGAGACAGCGTTTCACTATATTGCCCAGGCTGGTCTCAAATTTCTGGACTCAAGTGATCCACCTGCCTCAGCCTCCCAGAGTGCCAGATTGGTATCACAGGCATGAGCCACTGTGCCAGACCGATGGGTCACTTTCAAGTGAGGATTGAGAGAAGCAGACGTTTGGTGGCAAAGGGTGAGGTAAATGTTGGGCAGAGCTTATGGACAAGGGATCCTGGGGCTGCCCTACCAGTCAGCTATTTCCAGGAAACAAAGCAATGTGGTGCCCCCAGGATGGTGCTGTTTAACATGAGAGGGAAAAGGACAGGGGAGGGGGGTTTGTAGACTAGGAAATCCCTCCCTGGGAGGAAGAGGTGATAGTGACTAAGGATCAGGTTGAGCCCAGTGACTGCCATGGAGGAGGGACATTAGTGGACTGGCCACTGACAAGCCCTTTAAACTTACCGGAGGTCCGGGAGGCCCCTCTGGCCCTGGTGGCCCAGGAACCTAAAAGCCAAAGGGGAGCCCTGTTACACTTGAAGTGGCCCTCCCTCCTGACAGGGCCTAGGGCCCAGCTGGAGACTGCAAGGCCAGAGGAGGACATGGTTGCCCACTGGAGGTCAGCTAGTGACTGCCCAGCACAGTATCCCCCGGAAAAGGCCCAGAACACGTCAAAAACTCTTAGCAGCCCAGTGGCCTGCTCAATGTTGAAAAAAAATTTCCAGGTAATGTCCCCAAAGATCTATTCTTCTTGATTTTTCTTGGAAGAAAAAAAGAAAGAAAAACACCAGAAGATCTAGCAGCACTAGGTTCTTGCTCATGCATGGCAACAATTGCCTGGAGTGGAATAAGAGTTTTCCCCTCTAGGTGGGGCATGACATCTTCAGTTTACTCCAGTCCCCACCACTCCCTATTGTCTTTGACCAAGAGCTCTTGCAGTCATTTTTTTGCATGCCTGGCCCTTGTAGACATTTGAGTTTGAGACCCTTGGCTTAGAGGAGCAGAGATTGGTTATCTGGAATGTGGGGAGACTGAGCTGTTCCTAAAGATTGCTCCTCAAGTCCCCAAGGTTTGTTACAGACAGGATGGGGACTGCTGGTCTCTGTTTCCCTTGAGAGCAGATGCAGATTGTGGTAGAGGAGATTCTGACTGGACAGTGAAGATGGAGGAGCTCAGGGCTATCTCCTCTATGGAGGGTGGTGCCCATTGCAGCTTCTGTCTCTGATGAACACAGACATCCTTTTGTCCACAGGCAGCCATTGCTGGGTCCTTCTGAGCTTCTCACCCCGCCTCGGCTTCGGGGCTCTCCTCAGGTGCCTTGTCTTCCCATGGGCAGAATTCCCTGGAGCATGGCCAGGGGAGTGACTCCTGTGCCAGGCCACGACAGAGGGCACCCCTACACTGGGCAGAAAGGAGGTCCCTATTGTTTCCTGGACCTGTGGACTTTGTCGCTCCATCACAGTCTCCTTGCAGGGAACACAATCTTTGGAAACTCTGCCTTCTTAAAAAAAGTTTCTCATTTTTAATAAAAGTTTACCATTTTAATTCTTATTATAAATAAGTGGTTTATGTATCCTAATCATGGTATTGATTATACAAATATCTACATGCATTAACATTCACAGAACTGGACATATTCCTGAAGTAAATTTTGCCTGTGTGGTAATTTTAAAAACAATAAAAAGGTTTCAAAAATTTAAACACTTTCTTGATATATCAGATGTGCTTGAATATGTGTGTATACTTTTGATATTTATATATAATAAGCATATAATTGTATATACATATATGTATATGCTTATGATTTCATATATATATATATAATTTGGTTTTCTACTCTTTTTCACTTAATGTGAAACTGATTTTTCCATTTTTTATACGTTCCCCACCAGCTTCCTGGTAATAGTGCTATGCTATTCATTGAGCGTAGTGAAAATGAGTTGTTACATACCCAGGGCTTAGTGCAGTGCTTGGCACGAGGAAAGCACTCAGACGTGGTGACTATTACTACTATTAGTATTATTACCATAAGTTATTTAATCCTTTCCTTCTTGATAGAAATTTAGGCTGTTTCCAATGTTTATTTTAAATACTTCCGGGAGGGACAGTGGGCGTATAATGCTTTTCCTGAATTACGATCATTTCTTTAGGAGGCTCTCCATTTTGAAACAAGTACCATGCACCTTGTACAATCAGGTCTGTTTCACTACATTCAGATGGGGCTTGGCAAGGTGAACCCACCCTGATGGGGACTAAGAAGGCTTGGTGGTCCCTCCCATGGGTCTGAGGTGCTATTTGGGTTGCCCAGACCCTGCCACCAAACATCCCGTCTCTCACACATCCTTGATCTCTGTTGCTTTCCTGGTTCTTGCCCCTGAGTCTACAAATATGCCTGATTTTCCGCTGTCTTTTGAAAACCTTGCCTCCATCCTGACTACTTATCACTCAGTTGTTCTGTCTTCTCCTCCTTTCACCATCTCACTTCTCGAAAGAATAATGCCTCTATCTGGAAAGCCTACCTCTGAAACTTTGTGGCAAACTCCTACAAAGCCATCAAGACTCTGCCCAAATAGCACGTCTTTGTGGATGCTTGCCTGATTCCCTAAGTTGCTCCCATGCTAGTGCCCATTATGGGGTACTATGAACGGTGAAGGGACGGATCTGTTTATTTTCTTCCTTTTTTTGTTTTGTTTTGTTTTTGTTTTGTTTTGAGGCAGAGTCTCACTCTGTTGCCCAGGCTGGAGTGCAGTGGTGCAATCCTGGCTCACTGCAACCTCTGCCTCCTGGGTTCAAGTGATTCTCCTGCCTCAGCCTCCCAAATAGCTGGGATTACAGGCGCCTGCCACCACTCCTGGCTAATTTTGTATTTTTAGGAGAGACGGGGTTTCACCGTGTTGGCCAGGCTGGTCTCGAACTCCTGAACTCAAATGATTCGCCCGTCTCGGCCCCCCAAATTGCTGGGATTACAGGCATGAGCCACTGTGCCTGGCAAGTTCTGTTTACTTTCATATCTCCAGACTCTAGCACCAGGACGGAAGCACAGGAGGTGCTCTGTGAAGGTTGCTGAGAGATGTGGTTTGAGAAGACTGGAGCAGTCCAGAGGCTCAGTGCCTGACCCACGGTGGTGCTCAGTAAACGTAAACGTCAGGCAGTTGCAAGCTTTATTCTAAAGCATAGAAACACTGTGCATTCTGCAGAGACTGTCCTTTGATGGGTCTCTATCAGATTATCTCTCATGTACCTCTGCTCCTAGATCGCCCTTCTCCCCGGCTTCTCCTTTCTCTCCCTGTGGGCACAGAACACCACTGCATGAATGCCAGCCCTTGGGAAAGGCTGGGACAGACGTACCCTCACATCCGTGACAAACTAGACTGGGATGCGACTAGTCTAGGGGTCAGCAAGGAACACTGTGGAGGATGTGGAGGTGTCAGCCTGCAGGACAGAAGACTGGGCAGGGACTGTCATCACGGTCTTGAAGAATCTGAGGCTCTAGTACAGGAAGAAGAGGCTGATACTCTCTATGGACTGTGCAGCGGACAGGCCTTAGGGTGACCTGTGACTTTTTTCTTAGCCATGGAGTAAGGCACATGGCAAAGGTGATGGAACCTCACTTCTATGATTACGTTGCAGATTATAACATACATGCCATACAGATGGTGACATATAACATATGTTAAGATTATGTTACAAATATGTTACATGAACACACAAACACACATGCACACAGCTCTGTCTTGCCAGCACTAGACACTAGGGAGACCCTACTGCTGGCCTTGGCCTTGAAGATGCCAGTGGCTATAATGTGAACTGTCTACTGTGCAGGGGGTGGGGAGGGCGGGGGCGCAGGTGGCAGGAACTGTAGGTGGCCTCTAGGAGCTGAGTTCTGTTCCAGCAAGGAACTGGATTCTGCCAATACCAGTGAGCTTGGAAGGGGATCCCTAGCTCCAGATGAGAATGCAGTTGGCTGACACATTAATTGCAGCCGCATGAGACCACGGGCAGGGGACCCAACTAGGATGTGCCTGAACTCTTGACCCACAGAAACTATGTGCCAATACATGTGTATTGTCTTAGGCCGCTACCTTTGCAGTGATCAGTTACGCAGCAATAGATAATAAATATGGCTCCAGAGGCTCTGAGGTGTCACCCGGGGGAGGCTGACGAGGGAGCTTCCACATCATATCCAGGAATGCTCCCTCCATCCTGGGGCTGCCCCATGGCGCAGTGGACAGGTCTGGAGGCAGTGAGCTGCCTGCCTGTGCCAGCTGAGTGAGGAGTCCTGTACTGGGTCAGACTTGGGACTGGTTGACCTCTGAGGCTCTTTCCACTTCCTAGAGGAGAGTTCTGAGACCAAGCTTCTAGCACCTTCAAACTAGGTTGGTGCTTCTAGAGGCCATCATACTGTGAGCCGAGGAAGTTGCAACTCCTGTTTACACTCAAACGCGGTAGCTACTTGTTAAGAGGACCCCCTCTGCCTGCTCCCAGGCTGGGTAGGCAGGCTTGGGGTTAGGGCAGCCTGATCACAGTGCCAGGCGCCCGCTAGGCTGGTGGCCGCAGGGAGGACCCTCGTCTGTGGCTGCCTGCAGACAACCTCGCCACCCAGCCCCTGGCCTCACTGTAAACCTCAGAAGCCCAGCTGGACTAGGCAATCCTGCCACTCCGGTCTGCTGTGGCCACCAGGTTCTCCTTCTCTCCCCAGCTGGGCTGTCTAGACCCTACAAAATGACAACGATTTCTGTTAGTGGAGCTCAAGGTGGTCTTGCTGAGTGTGACCAACTGTGGCATGCACAAGATGTGGCTCCCTTGCTTCAAGGGTAGGTGCCTAGGATGGCACCCGTTTCACAGATGGAAACCCCTGAGACCCAGAGAAGGCTCCCAAGTCAAGTTGGCAGCCTAGTGGACTGGGCGAAGGCCCCGTTTCTGTACATGCAGCCTCTCCTGGGTATAGGGCTTCTGTACACTTTCCAAAGAGGCAACTCTAAACCATGACTTCATCTCCTTCCCAGCAATCCAGTGAGGTATCCAGGGAAGACATTGTTATCGCCATTTTAGAGATGAGGAGACGGAGGCTCTGCAAGGCTCAGTGGCTTTCCCAAGGATACAGCTGACAGAGCAGGACTTAGGTCTCCTGAGTCGGGAAATTGGCCTTCATAAAGTGAGTGACTTGAGGGGAAGCTGAGTGAATCCCCCACCCCTAAGTCCTGGCCCCAGGTTTCTAGCCCAGGCAGCAGCTGGCACCATGCAAAGTGCAAAGAAGCTCGCATCATGCTTGGGAGTGGCGTATGCACGGAAGGGCAGCCAGCCGTGCCACTCACCGGTGAGCCTGCTTGTCCTGTCTCTCCTTTCTCTCCCTTTTCTCCTGGGCTCCCTGGGTGCCCGTTTTCTCCTTTCATTCCTGGAGGTCCATCCTTTCCTGGGGGGCCTTGGGGACCAGGAGGGCCCATGTCTCCTGGTTTACCGCGAGGTCCCTTTAGAAAATACCAACAACGCTTCTTAGACACATTAATGGAGAAAAGAGAAGAGAGGGAGAGAGAACAGAAAAGTCCAAAGGCCTTGGCTCGTTGATGCTTGACTGGGGCAGGCAGAGAGAGCCCAGCCTGGGTCTGCCTGGCTCCTCCTGGGGCTTGCAGGGTGGGTCCCTCTCCCTGCCCCTCCCCATCTCCCCTTGCCCACTGGGCTCACACCAGGGCCCGTTCTAGCGCCATCCTGCCCTGCCTCCTGCCCCCAGGGCCAAGACTGTCTTCAGAGGTTTGATTGGAGGATGTCTGTTCATACCTTCTCCCCATCGTGTCCTGGAGGGCCTGGCAGTCCAATCTCCCCCTGTAGCCAGAACAACTAAAGGTGACTCTCAGGGCAGAGACCATAGCAGCCATCAGTTACACATTGCTTAGTGCACCCGGCATCCCTCTCCACACTTTCCCATAGAGTTTGCTCATGTAATTCTCACTGTGTTGCTGGGAGGTATGCACTTGCAGCCGCTCTTCAGTAGACAAGATTCCAAAGCACAGAGTTGTGTGCCTGAGGCCCACAGTCAGTGAACTGGGGAGCCAGGATCCCAGTCTGGACACTCTGGCTCCATGTCCATGTTTTAGCCACAACCTCCCACTGCTACCTCTGAGAGCCCTAGGTGCCCTTAGCTCCCTTGCAGAAGGATTCTTGCCTTCCTGTCTTCCCTGAATGCAGAACCCCTGCCCTGGCTGCTCCACAGGGTGCTCCTTTCATCTTCACACAAGCCGAGCCCCTTCTTTGGGTCAGGTAGGGAGTTAAGGGAGGTGGCAAAAAGATGTAGGTCCTACCCAGAGGAAAGGGCAGGGAATTCTGCCTGACAGATCAGGGGAGGCGTCAAAGAGGAGGTGGTCTTTGAATTGGGCTTGAAAGATGAGAAGGGCTTTGAAAGAAAGGGAAGAGGGAAAGAGACTTGCAGGGGAGAGGACATCATGAGTGGGAGACAGAGGGGCAGACCTTCTGAGAAAAACACAGGTGGGTGGAGTGTAAAAGGAAAGCAAGGGCAGGGACTGAGGTGGGAGGATTGGGGAGGGGCTCAAATGCGGAGGTCCCTGATGGGGTCCTCATTCCTGCTGTGGGTCTGGGTGGGGCAAGGGCAGGGGTGTGTCTAGACCCAGACCCCACCGCATCAGAAAGCTCTGTGAATTACAGGAGCCCAAGCAGATGGCAAGGGGAGGACAGAAGAGCGACAGCGGCTGGGAGGTGGGTGGGTGGGGCCCTTGGTGCTTTGGAGCAGCAGGAGGGTATGGCGGTGGTGCTGGGAAGATGAGAGGGTCACAGGAGGAGGGGAAGCCCTGGGGTCGCTGCCCTTGCAAGGTCTTCACCCCCTTTGTCAAGACAAGATTTACCTTCTGGCCTGGAATCCCTGGAGCTCCAGGTGGGCCAATTTGCCCAGGAAGACCAGGAGGCCCCTAGGAAAGAAAGGAAAGACACATGGAGAACTGTCCCACTGAGGAGGGTAGCCTGTCTCCCGAGGGCTGTATGTGGAGGCTGGCTTATAGAGATAAGTTGTTTTCAAACCTTTCTCCAGTGATAGAAGCACATTTGTTTGCAAAGAAAATAACATGGGGAACCCAAAATGCAAAACATATAAGCACCAAGTGTGACTGGGTTGAAGTGGAGGTGGGGTTTGGAGAGCCACGTCCAATACCCTCTCCTCCTTCTCTCTAGGGCACCTCTGGCGACCCTTTGGGTTCCAAGAAGCTAAGTCTGACCTTCCCCAATAATGACTTAAAAACGTCTCCAGGAAACAACCCAAATGCCCATCAACAGGGGAATGCGTAGTATGTCCATACAATGAAATACTACTCAGCAGGGAAAAAGAACCAAGTGCTGATGGTGAGAGTGCATCTCAAACACATTTTGCTGAGCAAAAGCAACCAGACACAGATGCTGTGTGATTCCATTTACGTGAAACTCTAGAAGAGGCAAAAGACACATCTAATCTACAGTGACAGAAGTGACAGCAGAGCAGTGGCGGCCTGGGGCTGGGAGTGACTCTCAAGGTACATGAAGAAATTTTCTAGAGTGATTGGGTGGTGGATACCTGGGTATATGTACTTATCAAAATTCATCAAACTCTACACCTAAAATGAGTACCTTTTATTATGTGTTAAGTTACACTTCAAGGTTGATTTTAAAAGAAAAAAAAAGTTTCTGGAAAAGTTTTATTTCCAATAGCTATTTCACATTATTATTATTATTATTATTATTATTATTAAGACAGAGTCTCACTCTGTCACCCAGGCTGGAGTGCAGTGGTGCCATCTCGACTCACTGCAACCTCCACCTCCCGGGTTCATGGGATTCTTGTGCCTCAGCCTACTGAGTAGCTGGGATTATAGGCACCTGCCACCATGCCTGGCTGATTTTTGTATTTTTAGTAAAGACAGGGTTTCACCATCTTGGCCAGGCTGGTCTTGAACTCCTGACCTTAAGTGATCTGCCCACCTCAGCATCCCAAAGTGCTGGGATTACAGGCATAAGCCACTGTGCCCTGCCAAATAATATATGTTAATGTCTCCAAATGAAACTCATTGATTCCAGAACCACGTCATTGATAGCAATTTCTGGGATTGGGACGTCAGAGAAGTGGTGTTTGATTTTGAGTTTGTGCCATCCCTAAGTGTGTTCTGTGGCTCATAGCCATGAAAAAATATTAGGTGAATTGAAATTTCAGTAGTCAGAGAACCACATGATTTCTCCTCCCGTCCTCTACCTTAGAAGTTAAAGTTGGTGGTAGTCATTTTAACTACAAATATTTACCAATAGCCTGTCACCAGTAGGCACCTGTACAAAACCCAGGCTTGAAATTCCCTGGTTTTCCAAGTGCAGATAATGAAACTGATTTCTAGGAAAGGGGGATATGTGGGAGGTTGCTGCTAGTTTTTCAGGGTAATGGATTTAATTAGCTAAAAGTTGGGAAAAAAGAGAAACATTAGAAACATCCTCCTCAGTACTGCTATTTCCTTGACATAGCTGTAAATAGAATCCAGCATTTGTATTGTCACCAGAGAGCACAGCTGTATTGGTGAAGAGCCTCTACATGGAGGACAGCCATGACCCAGGGCATGGGCAACCCTTGAGGCCCACCTACCAGTCCTGACCCATCACCTCCAGCTCAGATCATCGTCTGCCCCAGCCCTGTTGGGTCAACCCTAATCTGCAGCCCAGGGCCTTCTTTCTGGAGGGAAGAAATCAAGTCCTTGCTTCCAGGCTGCCGTCCCCAGCCCCCAGCCCAGTGCCCAAGGAAAGCCAGGAGGAACAAGACTTACCATCAAGGCCAGTGTCCGGATCTCCTAAAAAACCAACACCAGGCAATCAGTTGAAGAGCAAACCAAGAGCCAACTGGAAGGTTCTCACTGCACAGTCATGGAAACAGGGGATCTGGGCCCCTCAAAGGAGCATGGGTGGAGGGGGACCCTCGCAGGTGGGCTCCATGGTCCCCAGACTCACACCACCCCCACCCCCACCTCTCGATGAGGTTTGTAATCACTGGACAGAGAATATGCAGCATCTCCTAAGCATGATTATACTCTAAGGCTGTCCTACAATGGACTCAGGCACACCCTGAATGGACTGCAACCTCTACTTCACTTTACTGAAAGGGAAGGAAGCACCACCTCTTATTCTTTCTAGTCACCATCTGAGGACCCTCCCGTGTTCTTTCCTCTTCTCCCAGGACCCAGATTTCAAAGTTGCCATGCACCTCCCTTTAAATAGGCACAGGATAGCAAAATATGGAACCACTCAAAAAACAGATCAGAGAGATGACTTTTGGCTTTAAAAGAGGATTTTACACCTTGTAAATGGAGTCACACATGGACACAGACTCCTTTGAAGAAGTGGTTCTTGAGCAGGGGCAATTTCTTCCCCCAAGGGATAATTGGTCATGTCTGGAGACATAGTTTGGTTATCACAGCTGAGGCTGGGGTGCTACTGGCATCTAGCAGATAGAGACTGGGGACGCTGCTGCACATCCTACAACACACAGGACCGCCTCTCCCCCCACCACAAAGATTCTCCAGCCCCAAATGTCAACAGTGCCAAGGCCGAGAAACCCTGCTTTAAAGGGTGGGGAGCGGGAGCTCATGAACTGGAAACAGGATTAAACTGACATGAAAGGAGATGCGTTCCAGGAAGATTTTCTGCTGTGTGAAAGGGGGTTATGCATACGTTAAAGAAATGGGGCCCCAGTACCCTGGATGGGCCATACCTTGTGGGGTGCCAGGATAATTCCACTGTGGCACTCAGGGGCCCAGAGGCAGGATAACTGGCCAGCTGGGCCCAGACAGACAACCCGGCCACCTGGATGCCAGTAATGGGGCCATTTGCCAGGAAGCTACACAGCGGGAGGTCGAAGGAGAGAAAGTGAGGAAGCAGCTCTCCTGGAAGCGCTGCCTAAGGGCCTGAGGGCCTGAGGGCAGGGCCCCTACTCAGCTGTGTGGAAGGGCCCCCTGATCAGGGCATGGTGCAGAGCCCTGAGGTCCATGAGGATCCTGGCCTCTGGGCTGGACCCTGCTCACCTGGAGAGCCTCATTGATGTTTCCATTGTAATCCACCATCTCTCCTTTCCCTGGTTCTCCCTTGGAGCCCTAGAAGGCAAATGAGATCTCAACCCAGGGCCTGGACCAGGAGGGCCTGGACGAAGAGGGCCTGGAGAGCGACTGTGGCCTGCTCTCTATCCGCCCACACTGGCTGCACCTGTCTGCACACACGTGGACCCAGAACAGCCAGCGGGGCCCTGGGGATTCCGAACACTCTCAGAGGATGCTCGGGGATTGCAGAACAAATGGAGGACTCCATGTGAGAAGTCTGGGCTAGGCCGAACTGGGAAGGTTGGGTCCACCTGTCCTGCGAGTTAGACCTCCCACCTGAGGGCCAGAATGCTCTTCCCCTCCTTCCCTGTCAAGACCCCAAGGTCAAGCCTGTGAAAGGAAGATAAAAACTTGGGACCCCAGTTCACTCGGCCAAAAGAAAAAAAAAGTTAAGCTGAAAGCTGAGTCATGCAAGAAGCTGCCTTTCCTTTTGTTCCGAAGCAGAGAGCTACAGATAAAAGGTTCAATATCCCCACAGGTAGCTGCTCCACGTTCACCTTAGCTTACGTAAAGTGCCGATTTACTGAGCGTGAGACTAATACATAATCAACTATTCTGCTACTTGCTCCTTTTTCCTTGCGATGTGCGAATTACCATACCCTTCCTCTTTCCCCTCCAGCCTGCTTTTCCCCTTTAAATATCGAAGCCCTCAAAATCATCTTTGGCAAAAGGCACAGACATGTCTCTTGGGCATGTGCCCTTAACCTTGGCAAAATAAACTTCTAAATATTAATTGAGACCTGTCTCAGATGCTTTTTGATTTACCAGCTGCTTCACACTGTGACTCCAGGTGAGAGAGGCACGTACCTTGGGGCCAGCTGGTCCCTGTTCTCCAGCTGCTCCAGGCTCCCCCTGTTGCATGACAAAATTGGAGCGAAGTGGGGATGAAGTTGGTACAGAGAGCCTGATGTCCCTAGATGGGCCATGTAATAAGGGCCAGGAGGCTCCTCTTAGTTCTTAGTTCATAGAAGTGCAGGTTCCGCCCTTTCAGGAAACATCCAGGGAGCACCCACCCACACTCCTCTGTCCCTCTGAGTCCCTCTGGGACTCGGTTCTGAGTTCTGGGTCTGAGCTCCTCCCACTTCAGACTCAGTGGCATTCTTTCTGTTCTGTGTTCATTGTTAGTGACTCCCCTTTGTCTCTCTCGCATCTTTTCCCCAGTCCCCTGAGTCAGTTGCCTCCGTGGGAACAGGGACATTTGCTTCTCTTTAATTCTATTCTGCTCAGGTATCCAGGGCTCAGCAACTTTTTGCCAATTATCTGGGTGTCAGTTGCCATCGAGAGCCCAAACGGTTCTTTTGCTGCCCACTCTGCTCGTGAAAGACCCGGAATGCCGAGTGAAACGTGGAGGGCCAGGAGGGTCTCAGGAGGACATGGGTGTATGAGCACCCACCTCCCAGAGTGGGCAGGTAGAAGGATTTGTTCCTGTTGCAAACAGGACAGAGCCGTGGGGAATAGATGAAAAAGCGGTGTAACTTGTGAAAAACCAAGCGCAGTTTCAATTTTTCTGGGATAATGAAAGACAATTGAAAAAACCAAGATGGAAAGTAAAAATAAAGGAAACAAGAACCCTTTGGTGTGACTCCTGATGACCCTGCTCATGGGACGTGGAGCCACTGCTGCCTCTGGGTAACCCGCTGTCTTTCTCCTCCACTGCCACAGCACTTTAGCCACTGTGAACTCATGAGGGACGCAGCAGCCTTTCATAGGGAGTAGCTGGAGAGAAGCAAGAGCCCCTCATTTACCAGTGGCTTGGGAAGCTTTGTGTCACTCCCCGGTCAAGCGTCCCATCCTAGACTGGCTTTTGCATGACTGCTGTCTCAGTGGATGGCTCTCTAAAGCCCAAGCCAACCAGGAAATAGGGAAGCCAGGGGTCATGGCCAGTCAGCCTTGGGCCCTGAGGGATACCCTGAGGGCTGGCTGGGACGATTCTTGACCTCCCAAGCTGACCCTCATCTTGCAGCTCTGGGATGTGAGGGTCTCTGTACCTTGTCTCCTTGCCGCCCTGGGGGGCCGACCTGGCCATCGACACCCGCTTCTCCCTGGGGAAGAGGAGAGAGTTGGGATGAGGGCATGCTGGGCACCTGGACAGCTGCTTCTGGGGGAAAAGATGGTCTTGCCGCTCATGCCCTGGGTGTTGCCTTTGGGCCTCTCTTTCCCCGATGGCTTCAGCACCTCCCACTGTTCCACCTCCCTGACTCCTACCCACCCTTGGGCCCAGCCTAGGTCTTGCTTCCTCTGGAAGCCCACCCCTGCTTTCCTCCCCTGCATTCTGTACCCTTTACTGGTGTCCACTCTGCCCTGCCAGGCCCTCCTAGGCCCACGCAGAGCCCAGCCCGTGGCAGGTGGATGCGGGCGGAATGAATGAGTGTATTGCCCCAGGTCATGTAGAGTAATTCACGCTTTCCTTCTGAGCTAAGAAAGAGATCCCCTTCATTTCTCAGGGCTGCTAAAGTAAACCAAGCAACACAGGAGGCATCTGCTTTGGGAAACCCAAATCTTACCACTGCACTTTTCAAGCAGCAAAAGGAAAGTGAGGGCAGTTTCCATTTGCAGCTGCCTCCACTGCTGCCACCTACCAGATGTGCTGGTACCAGGTGGGGCCCAGCTGATAGTTGACCTGCAACCTACTCAGAGCCAAGGTGGGGGGCCTCTTGGCTGTCCTGAGGCCCTGAAGCCATCGGTCCCTCACTCAGTTACAGCATAGCCATTGAGGTCCTGCAGCCATTGCGCCCTGACTCAGTTACATCAGAGTCATCTGAGTCACTGGGACTATCCATCTGCCCCAGGGAAGACATCTCCTCTGAAAGGTCCAACTGTTATCTGCTTGGAAGCAGGAGCTGGGTCCAAATGACCTTTTTGGAATCCATGGGGAAAACCACACATCTGGAGCAGGGGAAGGCTAGAGAAGGTGGGATGTCCGGGATGTAGAGTCCCGGAGAACCGGCTGAAGACAAAGTCCCTAGGTAAATGCCTCCCCGACACTGATTCCAGGGAACACTCACCTTTGGCCCTGGGGGTCCAGGGAGCCCTGGAGGGCCAGGTTCCCCTCTGCCTCCTCCAATGGAGTTGCCAGCATCGCCTTTCTCTCCCTGAGGGTGGAAGGTGGAGTTAGCGTCCCTGGTGTGGAGGAAGGTCTAGGCTGAGCACTGGAGGGACACTATGGAGCGTGGGCCCCAGGATGTCTGGGGACCGACCAGGGGCCTTCAGAACCCCAGACTGGTCTGATCCAGCCGTGGGATTTGAAGAGAGATTGGAAGTGTGTACTGAAGGGCAACAGGTTTAGAGCTGATACAAGGGACCCTTCAAAACTGGGTCTGGAGCAGTGTTTCTCAAAGCGTATTCCACGGAACACTGCTCAGTGGGTTGAGAATATTCAAAATGGGGAATAACATTGTTATTGGTGGCCAAACTATGTTAAGCAATGCAGCATTAAATAAGGCTTTGCAGACCCTATCACTGCAGGGTGCTCTAGCCTCTAACAGGCTGAGGAGCACTGCGACTCTCCAGGAGCCCATCTGATTATGCACACCTCCCCTAACTTATTTTGGCCTCATCTTTTTTTTTTTTTTTAATTTTTAAATTAAATATCTTACAGAGCTCATGAACTGTGGGATGCATTTGCAGAGCTGGTACAAAGAAATCTGACCAGGTCATCGCTACCGAATTCTTTACATTTAGACATTTTATTTTTGCCAATCAGGGCCTGCCTATGGCCCCTCTCCCCTAACAAACAGAATCTGTCTGTGTTCCAGCTGCCTTTCCTGCAGTCTGGGAGACAGACACATCCAATGCTGGGGCCCATGTGGATGTGCAGGGCCGGGTGTGGGATGTGGGTGACGAAGGACCTGAACCCTCATTCAGAGTAACACCTACCTTCTGCCCCAGGAGGCCAGGAAGCCCAGGGGAGCCTTCAGCCCCCTTCTCACCCTGCAGGGAGATGCAGACAGTGGGGGGGTTAGGAACTGCCTCTGCAGCAGGTTTGGGAAGCCACCAGCCCCACAGCTTAGGGCCTTGCCTTCCCTTGCTCCTGCCTCCCTGCTTCTGCCCCTGGCTGGCTTTCCGAAGGGCTCCACTTCCTCCTGGCCCCCATCCCGGCTGGCTACTTCCATGGGCCACTTCGCATTGGTGACATCTGCATGACTGCTTTCCTTATTCCCGTGTGACCCGGGCCCTTGTCATTCATGCTGGGGAGAAGTCACACGGACCACAGATCATAACAAAGGCCAGAAGCATCTAGTCTATCCTGGGGGTCTCCTGGGAGAGGTGAGCAGTTCAGAACGCCGGTGGTTGGGCAAGCAATTCCTTTTCACCACTCTGCTCTTCTTCAGATTCTTAATGCTTAGTAACTAAGGGCCCCCTGTCTTTTCTAACACCCCCCTCTCTGCCTCTAGCTATAACTAGCTCATCTTATTTGGACATAGGGTCATCGCAAATGTAATGAGTTAGGATGAGGTCCCACTGGAGTAGGGTGAGCCCCTATCCAATGTGCTGATGTCCTTATAAAAGGGAGAAATTTGGGCACAGACATGCACATAGGGAAATGCCATGTGGAGATGGAGGCAGAGATTGGGGTGATGCGTCTATAAGCCAAGGAATGCCAAAGATTGCCAGCAAGCACCAGAAGCCGGGAGAGAGGCCTGGAGCAGATTCACCCCCTTGGCCCTCAGATGGAACCTGCCCTGCTAACACCTTGCTTTTGGACTTCCAGCTTCCAGAACTGTGGGACAATGAATTTCTTCTGCTCCAGCCACCCAGCCTGTAGTACTTTGTTACCACAGCCCTAGCAAAATAATACACTTACCTACTCAGCTTCTTCCAGTACAGAAGAACTCCTTTTTCCCCCAAGACATGAATCATAGAGCCCCTTAGAGATACTGAACCCCATTGTCATTTCACAGATTTGGCGGGGGAAGCCCCAGGAGGTTACGTGACTGGTGGCCAACCCCTTACTAAGTCAGTGGCAGAGGCGGCTTGAGCCCCTGTCTCCCAGTTGCTCTGCCCTTTGGGACACAAAGGCTTCACAGAGCAGCTGTCTTGGTCAGCTCAGGTGGCTATAACAAAGTCTGAGTGGCTTTGACAGCAGAAATGTATTTTCTTACAGTTCTAGAAGCTGGAAGTCTGAGATCAGGGTGCCAGTATGGCCAGGTTCTGGTGAGAGCCCTCTTCCTGCCTTGAAGATGATGGCCTTCTTGCCGTGTTCTCACAAGGCAGAGAGGGAGAAAGGTCTCTCAAAGCTCTCTCTCTCTCTTCCCTTTCTTCTAGGGTCACCAATCCTATTGGATTAGGGCCTCAACCTTATGGTCTTATTTAACCTTACTGACCTCCCCAAGGCCAAGGCCCTATCAAAATACAGCCACACTGGAGGTGAGGGCTTCAACATAAGAGTCTGGGAGGGACATATGCAGTGCATAGCAGTGTCCAATATCAGGTGAGCTTCCAAGAGCACCCCACCAGCAGGGCTGGGGTATCAGGTCAGCACAAGAAGCTTTGCTACCCATGGCCCTGGGGAGAGGCAGTTCTCATGTGTAATAATGTGAGCTGAGGGCTCTGGGCTTATAATTTGGTCAGATGTCTCAATGAACATTCATTCCAGCTGGAGCCACAAAAGGTACCACACCAAGTCTTTGGGTGTCTTCTCCTTGGCACCTGCCCCGGTGTGGCAGCTGAATGGTAAAGTGGCCTGAGGCTGGCCAAGAGGGGTTGTGGAGGGCCAGGCAGAGGCCCTGGCAGTGGGAGGGGGTCCCCGCTGCCCTGTCTTGCCTGGGCTGCTCCTGCAGATGTGCTTAGTCTGGGCGTCCTTCAGAAGCAGGCCAGGTGGAAAAGGAAAGGATGTGGGTCCTGACCTATGGAGATCCTCGGGGAGCAGAGGTGGAGGGAGGCAGGTTCCTCCTTCTGCTGGGCTTTCTGCTGGGTAATCAAGGCTGCCCAGGAGAGTGGGTGTGCTCTTGAGGTCGTTTCTGAAGCTTGGCCAGGCCATCCTGCCACTCCCCTCATCTTGGGACACATGCACCAACAGCACGCTGCAGGCGACACACCAGCCACGGAGGAAGGCCAGGGAGTAGCGGACTGGTGAGGCCAGGACGAGGGGGCACACACTCAAATACACGATATCCTACCCTCTGCCCCCTCTTTCCCAGCAAACCTGGGGGCCCCGGCTTCCCTTCTGCTCCTGGATCTCCCTTTGGGGTAAGAAGAGAAAGTCACTGATAAGAAGATGGGGCAGGGAGTGAGGGGTAGGATGGGCAGTGATCATTGACCAGCATTTCCAGAATACTTGTCCCTTAAGCTCTTCCTCTTTAAAAAAGGGTGTTCTGGTCAAAAAAATTTTGAAAATGCCACATAAGATATTTCCTTTTGAGAGCTCCTCAATGCACATTTAGCAAATTAAAGGTTCTGAGAAGGTCTGCAGCAAAGAAACCTGTGTAATATTTCTAACCTAGTATTTCTCAACTTTTTTTTCTTGTCACATCTCTCATTGTCATACAAGAGGGAAGAACCCTGTAGGTGCAGGGGACAACAGTGACTGCCTGCTGCCGCTAGGCCAGGACCCAGGGAGGGGGAGGCATTTGCAGTGTGCTCCTGACCAGTGGGCCCTTCTCTGCTCAGCCAGGTCCCCAGCCCCAGGCCAGCCTCAGGGGGACCAAGAGCAAAACAGCAGCAGCCCCTCCCACCTCTGCCCATGACCAATGCTCTGTGCAGCCCAGAACATTCTCTCTGTATCAGTACCTTGGTTCCTGGGATCCCTGGCTCGCCCTGTGTGGAAAAAGAGAAACAAATGTGAGACACAGAAAAAGCAGAAACAAATGAGCAAGGCACCTGTTGGTGGAGGTGGGGTGGGGGGCAGTCGGGGTGGGATTAGTGAAACATCTGGCCAGCCCCGGCTCTTCTCTGTTCAGGCATCAGGTCCCAGGCCAAAGGAGGCCTATCAGGCTACTGACCCTTAGAAGGTTCTATTCTTCCCCAGGTGAGGGGTGTGGCAGGTGGGAGCATGAGTGAGACAGCCCAGGAGGAAGAAGAGGAAGGAATGGGCATTTGGTTTGGACATGGTGCCCCCTGGAAGTGCACCTGCTGTGAAGATTGAATTTGAGCACTTGTTTTTCCAGGCTATCCTAGCATCTGCCTGCCAACCAAATGGGCAGTTAGGGTGGGGGTTCTGGAGATGAACTCCTGCTCTCTCTGAAGCTTTGGAAGCATATAGCTACTGAATTACAGAGCATAAAGGAAAGATCTGGGCTGCCTTCCTGCTGCCTTGGTGCCTTGGCAGGCTAGTGAGTTGAGGCAGGAAACCTTCGCTATTTACTTGCAAGGCTTAGTTACACATCTGGCTCAAGGTTATGCACCTGGCACAAATGTTACTTTGAGAAAAATGTTTCCAAATCCCGTATGCCCCCTCGTTGGTCTGCCAGCCACCCCACTGAGCCTAAGATACCCAGCTCTGCCTGCTCACATCTCTCCCACCCTGTCCCTGATGTGTTGGTTGCAAAAGTCCACTGACCTTCATCCCAGCCACGGCAATTCCAGGAGTGCCCTGGCAAAGAGAGACAAAAAAAAGGTTTGAAGACATTCTTCAGCGAGAGGGCAGCGGCGGAGGGTGGGGGGGCGGTGCAGTGGACAGCCTCCCCATGGTGCGATGGGAAGGAGGACCGCTCACTCCTCCCAACCCCGCAACCACCAACCCTGCCTGGGAGGTGGGGGTGCTGAGCTGATGCCATGAGAATGGACCCTGAGGAAGGGGCTTTGTGCAGCTTAGTCTGCAGGGCTCCCTGGGCTTCCCAACCACCTGGCCTCTCCTAGGAGGCACAGTGGGGACTGTGGGGCACTAGATGGGGCTGGGAGGGGGTCCCTGGGGTGGAAGGAGGAGCTTCATTGGACTATGAAAGGAGGAGGAGATGGGAGGGGAGAGGGCAGGAGGATGGAAAGCCATGGGAGAGGGGGGCAGAGTAGATGACAAAGTAAAGGGGCTGATTTCACCAGGACAGTCGTCCCCAGTGTCTGATTGACATGACCCTCACAGTCAGCTCTGCGCATCTCTGCCCTCACAGACTGGGGAGTGGCTGGAGTGAACCCTGTTTTCGTATCAGCCCAAGGCCACCTACTTTGAGAGATATATGATGCCCAAAGTGCCCCTTAGCAAATCTCAAGCGGAGGTGATTTTTGGGGGTCCCTACTCTCCACTTGGGTCTTAGGACTGCAGTGGAGCTAGGGGTACCTGAAATGGCTTTTTATGACCCAGAGATACCCAGGAGGAGGCCGCCCACATCAGGGCGCACTGATGAGAGACCACAGTGCTGCAGCTGGGAGAGCCAGGGCAGGCGGAAGGAGGCCCAAAGAACTGGGACTCCAGAGTGTCCCTGGAGCTGGGGAGAGAGGGATGGGCGCTGGGGGAGGGGCCTTGGGGCTGCTTGGGATGCGGGGAAGGGGGAGGTACCTTGGCTCCATGCTTGCCGGGCATCCCTGGCATGCCCCGTTCTCCCTAGAGGAAGAAATGAGAAAGCATGAGGAGAGGACCAGACTCGGGGCCTGTCAGCCTGCAAAGACATTGGTGAGAATGGCTTGTCTGGAGGCTGGGATGGCTGTCCCGCTCATGTTGAGCTCTGAGGACCCTGCTGGTGGCAGCTGTGTGGGCCCCTGCCCTCAGCTATGTGAACTTGCAGGAGGGCCCAAGTTACAGGTCACAGAGCAGGAAAGGCCCCCAGAGAGAGAGGCTCACTTAGTGGAATGCAAGTTCAGCAAGGGAAGCGACTGGCCCAAGATCTACCTACCACTCCGTGGTTGAGCTGTACCTGGAACTTGGGCTGTGGGACAGGACCAGGGGCAGGAGCCACCCATTGGCCGCTTACCTACTGCACACCTTCCCTCTGGTCCCTGCCTGGGACTTCTTGCCTTGTTTTCACTCCAGCAGCTTTGCTAGGATGGTACCTTCTGGCTGAGCCAGACAGGAGCTCTCTTCTCTTTTCATCTGGGGTTCCTTTCCCTTCCAAGTCCTCTGGGTCTAACTCTTCCCAAAGGCATGTGTCCCTGCCCATTTATCCACACCCATTTCTGACCCTACCCGTCTGGAGGCACAGGTAGGGTCACCTGTCCATTATTGCTTCTCTGGGAGAGCATAGGGCTGCTCTACCATCTTGGCACTACCCTACCTTTATGTTCAACATCTTTACTTCCCCAGGAAAATGCCAAATCTGTGAGAGTAGGGTGAGATCAGGATGAACGACACACCACAAGGAGGTGGAGTTGGAGATGACAGCCAGGGACAAATGGGAGGCCAAGAGCAGGTAAGTCAGGACTATCATTGGCTACATCAGGGGATGGGGGGAGGGCAGTGCCTGGTTCCAGTTGAATCCTATGTAGTGCCTGAGCACGAAGCCCCAGCTGGGGCCTGGGATGGTGTCCAGCAACAGGTGACTGCGGCCAGCCTGCTGCCACTTCCTCCATCTGAAGGCCAGCACTGTGGACGGGCAACACAGAGTGTGACAATCCTGCTCCCGGCCCAGCTGCCCCATTGGGTGTGACTGCTGTGGCTGCCAGGCCAGGCTGCAGTTCCCATAGGCTTAAAGGCAGAGGGGATCTGGTGTTCCCTGGCTTCCTTCTCAGCTGTCCACACTCTCCCTTTCCTGCCATCTTACAGGAGGTCCTGGTCCCTCCTTCTCCTTACCAAGGCTAGAGTACTTCCACCCTCTTCCTCGGTGATGGGTCTTCCATGCAAGTGTCCAGTTAAGCTCCCTAACACACAGGCTGGATAGCGAGACCCCTGCCTTAAAACATCCCTGGCCTGCTGTTGACAGTAGGAAAAGGACCAGGTTCCTGAGCATGACGTTTTGATCCCCGCTTCCTTCCTAGCCTCATCACCTGATATCATGGGGTGCATCAACTAGTTTCTGTGTCCCTGAAAACACCACCCGTTTCCACAGTTATGTCTTTCTGCCATTTCTTCAACTGAAAACCCCTGCATCATTTGGATTCTTGGTTGACAGAGCAGCCAGTGCTTGAGCACCCTGGGCTGCGCTGCCCTCGCACACTGACTCCTGCACCCCTAGGGGCCACAGATCCGAGGGCCTCTGAGTAGAGAGAGGCTCTGCCCTGTTTTCAGCCTGAAGAGGCTGTTTGATGGGAGTGGGGCCCTTTTATCTCTTCTATGAAGCTTTTCGCTATCCCCTATTACCCAGCGCTGCATCCTCAATGCGGCAGGGACCACTTAGCGTTTGTAATCTGCACACACAAATTTACGTCTGCCTGAGATGGCTTCGCTTTTATCCTCTTTGGGCCAAGTCTCTAAATTCTACAAAAGGCCTAGAATCTTTAGTTCCCAATGCCAGAGCCCTCTCTTAGCATGACTCCACCAGTGACCCCTGAACCACAGGTGGGATGGCAGAGCTAAACTCAGGAAGTTACCACAGCTGAAAATCCAGAGCCCAAGGCCTGCCCTAGACATTAACTTCCTTCTTGTGGGACTGAGAGAGAAGGGCACAGCCACTTACTGCAGCTGCCATGTGTCTGCCCTGGACTGGAAAGCTTTACAACCTTCCTCTATTCCACCTCCAACAATCCCTTCCAATGTGGGAGTGGATGTTATTCTCGTTTCACAGGTAAGCTAACCGCGGCTCACAGAGGCCAGGTAAGATTGCCAAGGTCGTGCAGCCTAGGGCTTTGGATAGTTTGTTGTCCGTATGCCAAGGTGCTCACTTGTCTTGGCCAACCCAAATATCAGATGGACTGATGTTCTGTCTGCTTCCATCAAACAGCCTTAAAGCAGAGCAGAGCCCCTCTTTGCTTGGGGAAGGGGGGTCCTTAGGTCTGTGGCCCATCAGAGTGCGGGGGCGGTGTGTGGGGGCAGCTCAGCGCAGGATGCCCAGAAAAGCTCACTGCCTGTGTGCACAGCTGCTCTGCGGCCGGCAGAGGGCGCGACAGTACCTCATCTGAAGTCTGGCTACTCCGGCCACAGCGGTCTCCAAGCCCTCTCAGTAGTATCAGCTGAGGGCTCCTGTCATTCTTTCCTTTGGAGGGCCCTCTGCTAACATTCTGAATGACTAAACCAGTTTGACTTAGTACAGAGGCCTCCACAGTCCTCTGGTGTGGGTGCAGGTGGGAGGTCAGCTTGGGAGTCCTTGACTATTTTGAGGCCCCCGTCATCCCTCTCTTCCACTTTCTCTATCTTTTCTCTTGCTTTCCCCCCAATGCCCCTGCCCTCTTCTTCCCACCTCCAATTCGGGGAGCTGGGCTGGGAGTGCAAGTGACCACGGATAAGCCACTTTCTCCCATTGGTCCAGGGTTCTTGGTTGCAGAGTGCGGTTAGATCAGATACCTCCTATCCACTGGCGCTCCTGTCTCTTCCCACCCACCCCAGCCCTGTCTCTGCTCCCCTGCACGCCCTTTGGAAGGAGAGAGGCCAAAGCTGGAGAGGTGCCATTTGGCTTGGTTGGTAGCTCCAGAAAAAGGATCTGTGGAGTGGGAAGGGACTCTTAGCTTTGGTTAAAAATGCAGCTCTAGGAGCGGTCTCAGTGGGTCTCTGCTCTCCCCTCCTCCTACCCACAGGGGTGCTTCTGCAGGGAGGAGGTGGCGTCTGCTTCAAGCTTGTCTCTGGGCTTCTGTCTCCAATCCCAGAAGAAACTGTGCAGAACAAAACCCCGGAGCGTGAGAGTCTCCAGGCTAATTGGGGTTGTCCTCAGCCCCTGTTGATGTGAGTGTGTAAAGACACAATCAGGCACTCGGGGAAGTCAGAGCCCCGGGAGCCTTCTCGGGAGGCAGCCCTCCTTGTTAGGGTGGCTGACCTTCGCCCCTTCCCTCCTCTCTGGGTCAATTCTCTTAATTCTGCAAATGACCCAGGCTTCCTTGATCCCCATCGCAGGGCCTCCGTCCCTCCCACCCCCTTGCTTGGCAGGAAGCAGGGGCGCCCCCACTGGCCTCCCCCAGCTGACCTCGCTCTGCTGCTCACTCCACTCTCATTAGGCTCACTCCCCAGGGCTTGTCTCTAGGGACCTGCCCCTGCCTGACCTCTGAACTGGGGAACGGGGCTTCTCCTAAAGCCAGAAACATTGGTTCCTGGAAGACGGTGAGGTGAGAGTCATTATCAAGGACTCCAGCATCGCTGTGGCCGGGGCCCATGTGCAGGAGGCAGGAGGCAGGGGGAGGGAGTGGGGGTGGTTATTGCCCGAGGAGGATGGTGGCTCACCTCTGTTCAGAGGGCTGTTCCTTGGGGCATGTCTTTGTGCAAGCCTGTCTAGGGGCTCCTTCTTTTCTAATTCCCCTCCTAGGTTTTCCTGTTTAAAAAGTGTCTTAGTAACTGTGCTCAGTTTCCATCCACTTACTCATCACTGTCTTGGTTTTTGGAGGGCCTGGCTCACTTAGTCCAGCAAAGCCCACAGGCCTCGATTCACCTCCTCTACCTCTGCCTCCTCTTGTCTCCCCAGAAGAGACTCAGAGGTTCCTCTGGGGGCTCTCAGCTGCCTTACTTGGGCTGGAGAAGTGGGTGCTCTGAGCCTTACAAAAGGTCTCAGCCATGTGCATGGTGTGATGGCAGAAGCTGTGACTCCCGGGCCAACATCCAGCCACCCCACTGCAAGGCTGGCTTTTTAACCTCAGTGCCAAGAACCAATGCAGGAAGGGGTAGATTGTACTCACTGTGCCTGAGAAGGCTCTAGGGGAGCACAAGTGGGTAGAGAGGCATTTGCTTTGAATGGCCTTGAAGGCCTGTCCCATCCCTGATTTTGAGGCTGCCACTCAGACTCCCCAGCTGGGCCCTGCCCCTGAGCACCACACAGCATTGATAGGTCCTCTGTTCTGGTCCCAGATTCCAGGTGGGAGGATGCGTCCTTTACAGGGATGATGGAACGGAAGGGAGCTCCTTGGAGCATAAACCAGCCATGCTCTGCTCCTGTGGGAGTAGCCCCTTAATTGGCGATTTACTGTTTGTTGAACAAGCTGGGCAGGGACTTGGCAAGAAAGCACAGTCTAGAGGAAGGAAGGGGGCTTTAAGGTCAGCTCCCAGCCAAAGTCAGGCCAGGGAAGCACGGGGAAGTAAACGAAGTTCTCTAAGATTAGGCCTGGGTTCTGCTGCAGCCAGGTCTGCGTTGGAAGGCCCTGAGCAAATGCATCTGGTGGCACAGGCTCTTTGTTCTCTGTAACGGAGGAGGAAGGCCTGCCTGAGAGTGTGGGGAGTTTGCAGGGAGGGGGTGGAGGGATGGTGGTCGGCGGACGGCTCAAGCCTGAAGCCTGGACCAGGGTCTTTTCCCTAGGCCAGAAAAGCCAGGTGTGGAGGGCTAATGGTTTTCTCCCTGTAAAGAGTTCCCAGGTCTTCCTTCCGGGAAAAAGGCAGCTCAGTTCCCGCTTCCCTGCTCCAGCCAGCTTCCACACCAGAGAGGACCAGAACTGCGGAAATTCCAGGTCCTCTGGTAATTAGGGCCGGCAGGAAGTGATCCGGGGAATTACCGGGGTTGGGTGCCCCATTGAAGGCCAGGGCTTTGGAAGGGCAGCTGG